TGTTTACGTATGGAGCAAAGTATGTGCAAAGTGTCAGAAGTTAAAGTAGAAGAGATTATGAGAAAGTCGGGTGCGAAGTGCAAGAGCGTATTTCGACGCGCGGCGCAGCACGGATCGCTTTTCTTTTGATTTTCACACTGTACATATTTTAGAGCATTTCTGACAATTTATCTGATTAATTAAGAGAAACTTGAAAAACTATTATCAAAAAGTCAGAAATCAACTCAAAAGATATTAATTTTTATAAGAAAAAAATAAATTTTATTCGTATTATTAAAATAATAAAATAATCAATCGGTTTCATATGCTGTATGTTGTACATTTTCTTCATTTTCCGGATCTTCATCGCTGTCATACTCGGACTCCTCGTCATCAACTGAAAATAATAAATATTTAAATAAACTAAATAAATCATATATACCATTAAGAGTTGCAAATCAAAAATTACCTTCTGAATCCTGCTTATCCAAAATGACATCTTTTACTGATAGTGGCAACTGTGGGCCTTCAAACCATAGAAATTCATATTTGCTATCAGTTAAGGTCCATTCTGATGTTTCGTGCTTAAATTCAATTGGATCCCATAATGTTGCCTTATTCCACAAGTGTGCAATATAGTGTGCCCTTCTCATTTGCTGTAGAAGCTCGGTGTAGCAAGGTGGCAAGCAAGAAGCGTCAAAGTTTTTCAAATTTGCTTTTAAAAAGGCTTTATCAGTATTTTTGAGGTGTATGAGTGAGGTTTTACATGATTCATATGGAGACTGTGTCCGATCGGAATGGTGTCCGATTGGAACTGTATCCGATTGAGTCTGTCTGATCGGGACTGTTTCCGATCGGGAAATTCCTTTGTGTCCGATTAGTAATGTGCGCAATCGGGACTCACTCACGGAACACTGTTAAAGTAATTTATATTATAAATCAAGGTTAATAAATATTAAAACGACCAACTGGCTACAGATGTAAACTTTATTAGATCGCTACGTTTCGACCACTGTATTCCTCTTTAGGCTACAATAGACAAGTATGAGCATACAAATTAATTAAAAAATAACACATTAAATCTTATGAAATAAAATAAAATAACTTTAAATTTATGTAACACACTATAAATTAACTAATATAATACGAATTTTAAATATATGGAAAATGCTTATCTTAGTAATAAATGTGAGAATTTAATATAGTAAATGAAATAAATAGTCATATTAAAATTCACCTATCTTTAAAAATCAGCCAATTACGTATTAAAATTATATCAAACACACAAAGAATAAGATGAAAAGTAATGTTATAATTAATATAAAAATAATATTAATACCTATTATTTGATGTTAAAATTACTTAATATGAATATGCCACAATGAAAAGATCGCACTTGAGTAGTACTTTAATCCTCATCTTACACTGTGCACGACCCCGCGGTTTAACTTGAACTGATAAACAACCGCAATGCTAAACTGTACATAGGTGTTATAATAACTATAGGTCAAATAGAAAAACAATACATATTTAAGTATCTTATAAAATATTAATAATCGTGTCGTAAATAGCATTCAAATTGTCGGTGTCTCTTTGTAAATTAATAGAATTTTTATGTTTTTTTATATAAATCATTTCAATAATCTCTCTATTTTTAACATTACACTCACTATGTAATATCGACACCGATGTCCAACAAAAATTGTGATTGAGATTAACCCTATGTTTATTGACCGAATGACTGCTCTTATGTTTTTTAACGTCATTATAATGTTCCTTGATTCGCGTTTCTAAGTGGCGTTTGATTTGCCCTATATAACATGCGGGACAATCATTGCATGAAATATTATATACTACGTTCGTTCTTTTATTTGGCAAAAGTTGGTCTTTCCCTTTTTAATTAACTTATTGAGTTTATTCTGCACTGTATACAAAACATCTATAGCAAACTTGTTCAAATCACGACAAACATCCTCACTCAAACCTTTAATGTACGGAAGAACTATGCACTTGGAAAAATCAAAACATTTTTTATTACTATTCCTTATATAATCATCTCCTAATGAATACAAATATCTCAATCTTTTATTAATAATCGGATTGACCAAGTCATCCGAATAACAATTATTAAATAAAATCTGCTTTACAATGGAAATGTTATTATCATGAAATTGTATATCCGAAAGTAAAATAGCTCTGTCCGTCACATTGATTATTGCATTAACTTTATATTTCATAGGATGGCTAGAAAAATAATTAATAAATCTTCCTGAAAAGATTGATTTCCTGTGCCAATTGGTTATAAGCTTATCGTTCCGTCTAATTACTTTAGTATCTAAAAAACTTATAGAACCGTCAATTTCTAATTCATGAGTAAATTTTAATCGAGGATGGTAGCTATTGAAATAATCCAAAATATCCTTAATACTCCTGGTATAATCACAAAAATATCATCTACAAATCTGCAATAAGTAGAAATCAGAAAAGATAAGGCTTTCAAACAATGAGTCTCCAAATCTTCCATAACTATATCCGCCAGAATGAGCGAAAGAGGAGACCCCATTGGCATGCCAAAAATTTGTTCGTAAAACTCATCATTTAAACAAAAACTTGTAGAATCAATGGTAAATTCTAATGCATATAAAAATTGGTCTAAAGAAAAGGGTATTAGATAAAATCATATTCCATCTATTTTTAATACCCAAGATGACCAAGGATTTCAAAACATTAGTGTATAAAGAGGAAACGTCCAATAATATCAAAACCTTATTCTCATTAATACCCACATTCCTTACATCTCTAGCAAAAGACCAACCACATATGAAGCCGGTTTCACAATTAAATTAGATAGAATTTCATGCATGTAACTCGTAATACTGTAAGTGGGACTCCCCAATGCAGAAACAATCAATTGTGACGGATAATTATCTGTACGCACTTTTGGCAATCCATAACATCTCGACAAGTTACCATTATGACAAACCAAACTTTTATAAGTCATCTCATCTATGATGTCATTCTCTAGCCAACCACGTACTAAAGCATTCACATCGTTAATCAGCTTTTATATAGGATCTTTACTAAGTTTTTTATAAGTAAGAGAGTCTGCCAGAAATTACGTCATTTTCATTATATAGTCATCTTTATTTAAAACAACCGTGATTTGTTCCTTGTCAGCCTTCGTAATTAAAAGATCTTGATTATTTTTAAAAAATCTAATACATTGTCGATGTTGTGAATGTATCAATTTATCAGAAAAATTTAAATGCCCGGTATTGACTAAAAATTTTTTAATAGAGTTAACAAAGGAATTCCTTGCAAGATCTCTAAGATCCTCCGATATCTTATAAGTGTTAGTTTCAAAGTTCTTAATATGTCGCAATGTAAGACCGATTATTTATATCTTTACAATCGAAACGTACACTAAATTTTTTGCCCAAACATGTTTTGTACAGATTCTGGTAAAATTTTGTCACTCAGGTTCACTAACCATTTCGCTTTGTCAATATTTTAAAAATGTTATAGTCTACATTATTTTTATTTAAAATACCCAATAAACACTGTTCTGTAACTTTTACAGACCATTTACAAAACAGTTGTTCGCGGTTCTGGTAACCGTTATGTCAACTATTAAGTAACATTTAGATGGAAATGTCAGCAACATTATGCCTGTATATGATATGTAATAGATACATAAAATTTAAACGTAATAGATACATAAAATTGGATATAAAATTACGTAACTATTACAGAATCTATATTAAATATTATTTGTAACATTTACATAACATTTACAGAACATTTACATAACATTTACAGATAAGATATTCTCTGTTCAGGTAACCGATATGTCAACTATTAAGTAACGTTTAGATGGAATTGTCAGCAACATTATGCCTGATATGATATGTAATAAATACATAAAATTTAAACCTAACAGATACATAAAATTTTATAAAATTACGTAACTAATACAGAATCTCTCTATAATAACCATTATGTAATTTTTTTATAAAAGATAGCACATATTTGTTTTAGAAATGTTTCATAATAAGCAGCTCTCGGAAACGTTTTTACTGATTATCTATTCGAAAAATATTAAGGAAAGCGTTTTAGAGTTTAAGATAATGTTATATTAAAAAATTTTTATTTTATTCGTGAAAAAAGTTGTTTTTTTCACAGAAAGTAAATAATATAATGAAGATATTTTCACTCAGTCTCGTCGGATATTTATTTATCTGATTTCTGAGGAATCACTTTAATACTTCTGTGTGGGTTTAATCGTTTATTGAACGATCGGTGGGCAAGGAATATTAAGGACGATTGACGATAGCCGGGTTGGTTTTCGAAGGCTCCCTTCAATTTTATTAATTAAATAATAATTATGGTGTCGTTCCTCTGGTCTGGTAGTCTTTCGCTCGTCCTTCTTGCAACGGGAGCGGGTTAAAATCGCTACAGCGCAAAGATCCACAAACTCGGAGGTATTCGGTGAACGCACTTTTCGCAGAATACAGAGCGAAAACTGTTTCGATGGAGTATCACTGACTTGTGATCGCTTAGACGGCTGAACGCAGACTTACTCGGAATCGACCGTCGGATCGCAGGAACCCGCCGGTTTCGGAGAAAAAAGAGGGAAATAACACGAAATCAGAGCGCGGGCAATAACAAGCCGTGTTTATGTATATAGTTTTTTTTTGGTTGATCAGCTGTGTGCTCGCTCGCGCAGACAATAAGTCGAGGCGAGCGATAGTCGCAAAAACGCTTCCAAAACATACCGCCCGCCTCGAATGAACACATTCGAAATGCGCATTGTGACGAACAAGAGATGCACTTCGGTTTGCACCAACGACGATAACGTTTACAATCGATTGAGAGATCCACTCTATCGATTTGAACAGTCTTATCGTGATTACGAGACCAGTGACAAAGGTATACATAAGAATATAGTTGATTAAATTTTAAAACAAATTAAACAAACGCAAACAAACAAAACGAGATATATATATGAGCAAGTGCTCGCTTTACTTTTTATCTCCGCCCGCCGAGCCGGATATCATTGACATCTCTTGATTGATGTCGACGGGAAGATAACAAATTTTGGTGATAGGGCGCTTATATTCTGCGCGGCTCGTTCGGACGGTGACGACTCTCGTCAAGCCGTCGGCTCCGGGATGGCACGCAACAATTCGGCCGAGCTCCCATTGACTCGGGGGAGCTAGCGGATTTCGTAGAAGAACTAACTGACCGACGCGCGCTAATTTTTGTACAATTCGCCATTTTGGGCGTTGTTGGAGGGTGAGCAAGTAATCGTTGCGCCAAGATCTCCAAAAACCTTCGGTGATGCGCTGCGTCATCTGCCAGCGTGACAATCGATTTTCATGCAGGTCGAGAACGCTGGGTTCGGGAACCGCTGCTAACGGAGCGCCGATTAAAAAATGCCCAGGAGTTAAAACGCGGTAGTCTTCCAGATTCTCGGAGACGGCGGATAACGGTCGAGAATTTAAACACGCTTCGATTTTACAGAGAAGGGTGTTCATTTCTTCGTACGTGAGAGTGTGAGCACCTATGCAACGTTTGAGGTGCGTTTTGACGCTACGCACACCGGCCTCCCAGAGACCACCGAAATGTGGGGCGGCCGGGGGAAGGAAATGCCACGATGTTTTTTCGCAAGCGGTCGCCTCAATAAAATTTGGATCGCGGAGGGCGCGACGATGTGCATCGGCTAATTCGCGATCGGCTCCTTGGAAAGTTGTGCCATTATCGCAATACATCCCCTGGGGAAGACCTCGTCTGGACACGAACCGATGATACGCCGCGATAAAGGTGGCCGAAGTATAATCGGTCACGACTTCAAGGTGGATAGCCTTAGTAGTGAGGCATACAAACAGGGCGATGTACGCTTTGTGAGACTTATGTCCGCGCCCGGGTGTACTTCGTAACAAAATAGGACCAGCATAATCGACTCCCGTGTGTGAAAACGGTCGCGCCGCGCGATTTACGCGAACCGACGGAAGATCTCCCATGAGTTCATTTGGAATGGTCGCAGCCTCGCGGGCACATCGCACACATTTGTGAAGGACTGCGCGGGTACAAGTGCGAGCGCGAAGAATCCAGAATTCGGAACGTAAGGATGCGAGAGTGAGTTGTGAACCGCCGTGTAGCATGCGATGATGGTGATGATCGATGATGAGGGAAAGGAGAGGATGCGACCGAAGGACGATCGGGTACTTCGTCGAATCTGGCAGGCGAGCGTGACGTAGACGTCCGCGGACGCGGATGAGTCCGTCGTCGCTCAGCGAAGGATTGAGAGATGAAAGCGGACTGGATTTGGACACGGATCTCTTCGCAGCGAGACAGACTAATTCAGCGGGAAACATAGCTGCCTGTATACAGCGGAGCCAGTACGCTTTGGCTGCGGCGATTTCGTCGACGCGCGAACTGCGTTCGAGTGATTGATTTTGCCGTCGCGCGAGATTCCCGAATCGAATTAGATACGAGGTCACGCGAAGCAATTTCGGCCATGATGAGAAGCGAAAAGCGAGATCCCATAATTCCGGAGGCGCCGGAGAATCCGTGACGTGTACGTTTCGTTTCTCCAAAAGATCGGTGGATGTGATCTCATCTTGTATGAGATTGCCGTTCGGCCAAGAGGTTGGAGGCAAAGACAGCCACGGGGGTCCGTGCCACCATAACGGATGTGGAGCTAGTTCCTCCGGAGCAAGACCACGGGACGCGGCATCGGCGGCGTTGTCGTAAGTCGGAACATGGCGCCACGGTATGTCCGGTAAGGTCGTTTGAATGGCCGCGACGCGATTTGCTACGAACGTTCGCCAGCAAGACGGCGATTTACTTAGCCAGGCTAGCGTTATGGTGGAATCCGTCCAACAATGTATTTCGATGTTCGGCAGTTGAAGCGTCGTTCGAACGAACTGCACGAGGCGCGAAAGAAGATGTGCAGCGGCTAACTCGAGACGCGGAACGCTTAATGTTTTGAGAGGGGCGACCTTGGACTTCGCGGCGAGCAAGAAAACGTCGACCGATCCGTCGATGTTAATGTTACGGAGGTAGACTACCGCCGCATAGGCTTTCGTAGAGGCGTCTGAGAAACCGTGTAACTCCGTTTTCAAGGTATGAGAGCCGGATCGCGTCCAGCGCGCGATTTCGAGTTGATGAAGGCACGATAAGTGCGAATAATAGCGTTCCCAGTCGGTTGCGTAATCGCCGGGAATGTCGTCGTCCCAATCGCATTTTAATTGCCACAATGTTTGCAGAAATATTTTTGCGGTAATCACGACGGGGGTGATCCAACCGAGCGGATCAAATAGTTTGGCGATGGTCGATAAGATCTCGCGTTTCGTTTTCGAAATATGTGTCGGGAGAGAAACTTTAACCCGAAAGACATCGCGACACGGGTCCCACGTGAGACCTAGCACGCTCAATCGCTCATCATCATATAGCTCCTTTGAGCAGGCAAGACCGTGATCGGACGGATCAATATCCGATAGAAGATCTGCGCAATTGCTTGCCCATTTTCTCAAGCGAAAACCGCCCTTTTCTAATAAAGCGACAAGTTGGTCGCGAGTCTGGCGCGCGAGAATTTTATCGTCGGCGCCGAACACGCTGTCGTCGACGTAAAGTTGCGAAAGGAGAACCGGAACCGCGAGCGGAAATGAGGCGCCTTCATCTTGCGCTAACTGTCGCAAAACACGGAGAGCGAGGTAAGGAGCGGAAGCGGTGCCGTAGGTAACTGTGAGTAGTTGATACTCCTCGACTGGTTGTTCCGGAGACTCTCGCCACAGAATCCTCTGGTAGTCAACATCGCGTTGGTCAACTAGAATTTGCCGATACATCTTTGCGATGTCGGCAGTGTAGACATAGCGATGTTGACGCCATCGCATTAGCACCGTGGCGAGATCGAGCTGGAGCTTAGGCCCGACCATCAAGTGATCGTTCAAGGATGTGCCGTCCGAGGTTCGACACGACGCGTTGAAAACGACGCGTAAGCGCGTCGTGGCACTGCTGTCTCGTACGACAGCATGATGCGGGATATAATAGCGGTGGAGTGCATTCCCACGGCGATTATCCGCTGGCGCGATGGTCATATGACCGAGTTGACGATACTCGGTAAGGAATTCGCGATAGGCGGAAGCCGTTTCCGGCTGACGAAGGAAACGCCGTTCGAGGCGTTGAAGGCTGGCGAAGGCGACGGCGCGCGATTCGCCTAACGAGACTGCGGTGTGACCTTTAAAGGGTAACCGAACGACGTAACGCCCTTGAGGCGTGCGGTAGTGAGTGGACGAAAAATGTTCCTCACATTCGAGATCTTCGGGATTTGGAAAAGATGAGAGGGGAATATCCTCAATTTCCCAAAATTTACGGAGAATGGAGTCGAGAGATTCAAGGACGGTTCCATGATGCACCTGCACAGATGCGCGTGGATCAGTGGAGATGGGAGTGACGGGTCCGGAGAGGATCCAGCCAAGAGTGGTTTTTTGAGCCGTAGGCTCGTTAACGGATCCTTTTCGAATACCGTCGAGGAGGATCAGGCCATACAGGTCGGCGCCGATAATGACGTCGATCGGATCGCGACTCATGAGATCTCCGTCGGCTAAACGCAATCCAGATATATGCGACCAGCGACACGCGGAATTTGTACGATTTGGCGTATATTTTGTTAAGCAGGGGAGAACAAGAGCGGTCGTCGAGTACGCAGGTTCATCGCCGAACGCAGGAGTTACGATGACGGTAACTGCGTGATGCGATACGGATTGTTTATCGCCGATGCCGGCAATCCGAACGGCTTGCTTGACGCGCGGTAACCGTAGGCATTGGGCGATTGATTCGGTGATAAGCGTGACTGCGGAACCTTGATCAATCAATGCGCGAACAGTAACTACTCGTCCTTGTGGCGAATGCACGCGAACGCGGGCAGTTGCGAGGAGAATCGCGGCCTGCGGTGACACCATGTTTGTGGAGAGATGCGTTGTGACGTCGCTATTACTCGAGTCGCTCGACGTCGTCGCGACCGCGGATTCGATGGTATCTCCTTGATTGGCGGATGTGTCAAAATGCAAGAGCGAGTGGTGCTTTTTCTGACACTGTTTGCATGTGCGCGGGCTCGTGCATTCCTTCACAACGTGCTTCGCGCTGAAGCAATTGATACACCGTCGGTTGAGACGGATTAACTCGAATCGTTCGGACGGTGTTTTGCTAGCGAAGGTCGAGCACTGGTATAATAAATGTTTGGCTTTACAGACAGGGCACGTGACGTTCGCGGGAACGCCGGAATTGGAGGCGAGTACGTGGCGTTTCGCCGATTTATTCGACTCGGATGCTTTCTCTTTCGGATTCGCGGGAGCGATCGCGTCGAATGCGCGAATTCGAGTATCGATAAATTGCGTAAGATCTTTAAAGCGAGGATACTCGCTGGTTTCGCCAAGCTTTATCTCCCACGCCTCCCGAGTTGATTTATCGAGTTTCTGCGAAACGAGGAAGACCAATAGATCATCCCAGTGCTCGACCGGACGCCCGAGATTCTTTAACGCATGTATCGCGGCGTTGGTCTGATCACAAAGGTACCGAAGGTCTTTGGAGTTTTTACTCGGAACCGCGGGTAAATCAACTAATGTTTGCAAATGCCCGGTAATCAAGCGTCGCTTATTTTCGTAACGTGAAATTAAGAGGTTCCACGCGACAACGTAATTCGCGTCTGTAATCGCGAGGTGGCTCAACGCCTTACTAGCTTCACCCTTTACACACGAACAAAGATAATGCAAACGATCGACATTTGACAGCGAGGTATCGTTAGCGATTAACGAGGTGAATCGGTCGCGGAAATTTTCCCATTTGTCAAAGCCTCCCTCGAACGTCGGTAAGTGTAGCTTGGGCAAATGTGACGACCGGCGAGAGAATTCGGAAGGGTTGCTTACGTCCAAGGTTGTTGACTGATGCCGCGGTCCTGGTTCGAAGGCCTCGAGAATTTCTGCCATGTAGTCGGATGTTTCGTTGAAGACGTCCTCGCAGGCGAAAAACTGCTGCTCCTTGAAGTAAGGCAGCTGCTGCTTCTGAGTATCACTGGCCAGACGAGTGATTTTCGAATGGAGTTCCTGGCACTTCGAAAAGATGACCTTCAGGTTGGCGAGGCGCTCCTTGGTAACGGCACGAGTCATCCGTGCTTGGCCAAGTTTCTTGAAATTTGGCAGAACTCGTGCGACAGAGTACATCAGCTGTGTCTGATCGCTGATTATCTCCTCCACGTTCGACATGATGCCGGCAGATCGTCAATGCCTGGTTTCGTCTTGCCACCGATCCGGCTCGAAGGACCAAAATTATGTGTGGTTTTAATCGTTTATTGAACGATCGGTGGGCAAGGAATATTAAGGACGATTGACGATAGCCGGGTTGGTTTTCGAAGGCTCCCTTCAATTTTATTAATTAAATAATAATTATGGTGTCGTTCCTCTGGTCTGGTAGTCTTTCGCTCGTCCTTCTTGCAACGGGAGCGGGTTAAAATCGCTACAGCGCAAAGATCCACAAACTCGGAGGTATTCGGTGAACGCACTTTTCGCAGAATACAGAGCGAAAACTGTTTCGATGGAGTATCACTGACTTGTGATCGCTTAGACGGCTGAACGCAGACTTACTCGGAATCGACCGTCGGATCGCAGGAACCCGCCGGTTTCGGAGAAAAAAGAGGGAAATAACACGAAATCAGAGCGCGGGCAATAACAAGCCGTGTTTATGTATATAGTTTTTTTTGGTTGATCAGCTGTGTGCTCGCTCGCGCAGACAATAAGTCGAGGCGAGCGATAGTCGCAAAAACGCTTCCAAAACAATTTCAATTTCTGAATTGAATTTCTTATGTTGAGATCATGTCACAAAGAATAATCTCATTATTCTTTGTGACATGATCCCAACATAAGAAAATTCAATTCTATATTAACACAGATGTTACCGTCAATTTCATCAACTTTAAACTTTCCTGACTAAAATTTGAATGCGAGATAGATAAAGAATCGTACACCGCGTAGCGGTAAAAGAAGAAACTAACAATTATTACACAACTATGACGTATCGTTTATGTCAATAACGTAATGAATCTATAATTCTTACATAAAATTGTTATGTAATTTTGGCGTTACTTTGTTATGTAATATTTATGTTTTTGGTTAATGTAAATGTGTATACTCTAAAAGTTTCGTAAATACTACGTAATTTTAATGACATAATTGTAACGTTATGTTAAATACATAAGATTTATGTATTTTGGTTAATGTAAATGTGTACACTTTAAAAGTTTCGTAAATGCTACGTAATTTTTATAACATAATTGTAATGTTATGTTAAATATGTAACATTTATGTATTTTGCTTAATATAAATCTGTATAATCTAAAAGTTTCGTAAATGCTATATAATTCTAATAACTATAATTGTAACATTATGTTAAATACATAACATTAACATTATTTTGTTGACATCAATGTATACATTCTGTAAAAACTTTATTATAACCGTTATATATAGTTATAATAACGAAATTGCGATATCTTTTTTTATTTAATGTGACATCGCAATTTCGTTATTATAATTATATAATGGTTATAATAAGGTTTTTACAGAATATATACATTGATATCAACAAAATAATATTAATGTTACATATTTAACATAACGTTACAATTATGTCATTAGAGTTATAAAGCATTAATAAAATTTTTTAAATATACACATTTACATTTTCCAATATACGTGAATGTTACGTATTTAACATAACGTTACAATTATGTCATCAAAATTACGTAGTATATTCAAAAATTTTAGAATATGTGCATTTACATTTATCAAAATACATAAATATTACGTATTTAATATAACATTACAATTATGTCATTAAAATTACGTAGCATTTACGAAAATTTAGAGTATGCACATTTACATTCACAAAGAACATAAATGTTACGTATTTAACATAACGTTACAATTATGTCATTAAAATACGTAGCATTTACGAAACTTTTAGAGAATGCACATTTACATTCACCAAATTTCATAAATGTTACATAACAAAGTAACGTTAAAATTATATAACAATTATAGATTCATTACGTTATTGACATAAACGATACGTCACAGTTTCGTTATGATGATCTGTAATATATACATATAAAACATTATGTAATTATTACGTAAATGATCCCTGCGTGTTTACTGGGTAACATTGCATTTCTTTACTAATCTCAATTTTTGTTTGTTATTAAAATATCTCAAAAAACTACTGTTATAGATATAAAAATTATCTCTAAATTCATTCAAAAAAAGCGTGAACAACTCGACCTCAACATTAACTAATCTTTTTTGTGCAACCGGCGCGCGAAAAGTCGCCCTTTACGCACATGATGGAATTTTAGAAAGGGCTCCCTTTCCACGCACCGGTCACACAAAATATCGTAGCCAACATGTGCGGGTCATAAATTGGCCGATCGTGCGGATTGTCACACTCGACTTTGCCTCGTGCGCCAAACTTCCGCACTCTCGGCTGATTTACGATCGCACTTGTTAGCTAATATACTATTGAGAAATGAGATGTGAAAATTAAGATCCTTAATATTTAACTTTAACAGCGTGCTTCTATTCTTCTCTAAAAGATTACGACATAGTTTCGCGACATAATCACTATAAAATGATACACGCCACTGTAGGTTTCCAATGTGTGAGGGTCAAACTTCATAACGTCGGCACCGTACTAAAATCTCAGTTGTTGTTCAGATTCAATAATCCTTTTCTTCGTATTTATTCAATCCTTAAATAGTATTATATGACGTGATTCAAATTGAATTGTTCTGTAATAATATTGATCTATAATAATATTGAAAATTAAGAAGCTCTGATAATAAATATATAATAAAAAATAAAGGGCTAAATGAGAGCTTAGCGTGGTCGTTGGTACACAAATAAAATAAAAGAAATCAATGAATCGTTCTTTATTTGTACGTTTCGGTCCTCGGATTTAGGACCACCTTCAGCAAACTATAAATTATTATTGCGTATCTTATTCCTGAAGAAATGTATTAAATCGAATATTATTTTACCGCACTTGAACAAATTTAAAACGTATACTAATAACTTATTTTATGAATATTCTTGTAAAAAATTCGAAACCATATTACTAAGATTTGCTAAGAGCATGATTCGTAATAAGATGTATGATGTTCATAAACACATAAGATTTTTATACATTAAAAATTATAATTTGATACGGTCGATCACATATTGGTTACCTATTGCAATATGTAATAAATTTTTTCTCATACAAAATAAATCTCTACTTCCATTTTAAGAGTGAACGTGATAGATTGAATAAAAAATTCAATTGGCTCATACATAAACAAAACAAAATTAAGCCTTTAAAATATTACTGTACATTTCCTTTAAGACCTGAATCAGACTCAATACAAGACAAAAAATTTATGAAGAATTTTCTTTGAAACCGTTCCGGGGCTCCAAGGACGGGAATGCCATAGATATCACATTAGATCCTCACGTTTTCCAATCTAAACCGATTTCTCCTTTAAATATACAAAAGAAATGGTTTACTAATCTATCTAACATAAATATTCCAGAGAAGGTACAAGGACTGATACAATTAGGGCAAATTTTTGCCTTCCTACTAATAACAAACAATTAATTATCACTGAATTTATTAAATCTGTAGACCATAATATCGGTAAACTTCCGCCAAGTTCTCGTATAATGTTTCGCAACAGAATCAGTCTAATCTTAATAACCTTTCTAATTTTTCTTTAAAATTTCTCCTTTAGATAAAGAATTAATTAATGCTTTTGTGGCAACCAATAAATTCGTAAAAGAACACCTGGATATAACATTCACTCGAGCTGATAAAGGAGATGTCACAGTAGCTTTGAATAAAAACAAATATAAATACAAGATAAATGAACTTCTTTCCGATAAAAATACTTATTTAAAAATCAAAAAAGATCCTACTAAAAACTAATCAGAGATCTCCACGATCTACTTTTAAGATGAAAAAAATGCGACTACATCACTGAGTTAAAATATAAAAGAATGAATTGCACGGATGGTGTGCTCCCGCGTGTCTATGGATTGCCGAAGATCCATAAAGATGGAAATCCATTAAAAATAATTGTCTCATCAATTAACACATCGTTATATGAAATAGCTTCTTTTCTCCATGACTTAATTAACGATTCCATTCCAAAACCTATGAGCCACCTAAATAATAGTTTTCAATTAGTCGAACAATTAAAATATAAGACAATTCCAAAAGATTTCAAATTAATTTCTTTAGACATGGTATCATTGTTTACTAATATTCCGATCGATTTGGCGATAGACAGCTTTAAAAAGAGATGAAATTTTATTTGTGAAAATTGTAAGATACCATGCAATGAATTTTTATACGCCATTAAATTTGTGCTTGATTCAAGTTTTTTTAAGTTCGACGACGACGTAATTTATCGGCAACCTTTGGTACTCCAATAGGCTCTCCGCTTTCTCCAATCATTGCAAGTATTACTCTACAAGATTTGGAGATGAGAGCTGTCGAGTCTCTGTTTTTTTCACTGCCCTTCTATTATAGATACGTGGATGATATTTTGTTGGCTGCACCTTCCTCTATTTTGTTTGATTCTTCAAACTTTAATTCTTTTCATAACAGATTACAGTTCACGTTGGAGGAGGGGTGTAAATAACGGAATAAATTTCTCGATACAACTATTAGATAGATATATAAACAACAATACCATATTTGATTGGTACCACAAACCTACGTATTCTGGTAGATTTCTGAATTTTGAGTCTCGACACCTCTTTGCCATAAGAAAGGCACGGTTATCAGCCTTATAGATACAGCTTTCCATCTTCTCATCCATGTTTCCACCAGAAAAACCTTGAGTTCGTGGTCAGTACGTTGATAATGGATATTCTTTGTCGTTTATTTTCCCAATTTTACGGGAACGCATTAAAACTTTAATTTTTTATAACGACAACAAAAGGCGCAACATC